CAGAATTGCTGTACAGTTTTCAGCCCAACTTCGACATTTGCCAACCGATTTCAATGATTTAAAAACTGAAATATTCGGAATCTTGCGCTCTTCAAGTCAACTTTGGATTTTCCCAAATTGCGCGAGTAGAAAACGAGTTATGAGCCATAGAGTTACGACTTTCAAAATGGATTTTCTCCAAAATCTGCAAAATTTCAAATTTGTTGAAATCGCGACGGCGTGGCGGATGCGCCACTGTGGCACAGCCCCAGTTGTTTATGGTCCAAAGGGTTAAGGCTCGTAAATCGTGGATTCTTCGGTCGGAGTTAGTGAAGATATCGGGCCCCTTGAACACAATCGGTTGCGATGATAAATGCGAGGACTTGGGCAATTATTGCGATCCGATGCCCATTCAGATGCTTAATGCGCGCCGCAATTTATATGTGTAGTTGCGAGGGGCGATGCAGGGCGAAAGGGCTGAGCGCTGCATTAAAAAGGCTTTATGTGAGCCACTAAGACAGAAGTGACGTCAGCAATGAGGCCGTTAAGCGGGATTGGGATTTGATAATCGCGCCTCCCCGCCCCCGACCTGAACCGACCGAGAAGATTATGCCGCATATTAAACGTATATACCGGTTAGGGCGTCCATACACGGTCGTACCGTATCGTCTAATTAGTGCGAGCGAACAAACGGCCGGCCAATTTCAATAAAAACAAAATACGCAAATCGCCGCCCCCGATTCGGTTCGTCTCCTAATAACCCGATGGGTTTTTGTTTGTTTTTCGTCGGTTTGCCGTGGGTTTCCTAATGAAAATATCGCGCCAGTAATTGGCTTTAGTGTGTGCGGATCCAGTTGGCCGCGACTCGGGATGATGGGGAAGAACAAGCAGCCGCCTCGACCGTCAATAAACGTAATTCATCCCCATCACGTTGTTCCTTCGGGGACGGTTTCGGGTAAAACAAGCCATTTGAATGCATAGTTGTCCGTCAGTCAGGGTGACATTACGGCGCTCCGCTTCTCGCTCCCCTTCGCTGCTCCAAATCGCCAATAAATTGTCATAAAAGCGTCAGATCGTCCGATTTGACAGCTCCGGGGGTAATTAAAGACGCGATTTATGGCCGCTCGCTTTTCGATTTCGGGGCCCCCTTCGCTTAGCTCACGTTATCTTGGCAGGGCGCAGCCGACAGCGTCTGAGGGATTTTCGCGCAAATTTACTCAATACTGGCTCTCGTTCAACCACGCGGCTCAAACCGGCAAAACCACCCCCCACGTGAGGCGCAATCCGGCCGAAATGGCGAAGGCGCCTTTAAAGGATCACGGGTGCATTCGCCTGAAAAATTCGCCCAAAATCAGCCAGAGGCGTCACAGAACTGCCCTTC